CTTGGAATGGGTTCAGAGGAGGGCCACTAAGATGATCAGAGGGCTGGAGCACCTCTCCTGTGAGGAAAGGTTGAGGGAACTGGCCTTGTTTAGCTTGGAGAAGAGAAGACTCTAGGAAAACCTCATTGTGGCCTTCCAGTACTTGAAGGGAGCCTATAAACAGGAGGGGGAATGGGGTGTTTATGATTGTGGGTAGTGATAGGACAAGGGGGAATGGTTTTAAACTGAGACAGAGGAGGTTTAGGTTAGATATTAGGAGGAAGTTTTTCACACGGAGGGTGGTGACACACCGGAACAGGTTGCCCAAGGAGGTTGTGGATGCCCCATCCCTGGAGGCATTCAAGGCCAGGCTGGATGTGGCTCTGGAGAACCTTGTCTAGTGGTTGGCAACCCTGCACATAGCAGGAGGGTTGAAACTTGATGATCATTGTGGTCCTTTTCAACCCACGCAGTTCTGTGATGAAATTTTCAAAAGCAGTTTTATAGGCAGAATCTGCACTATTCGACTCACGGAAGTTTGCTGTCCAGTAGTCTTGTCTTCTATTTTGCCATAAGTAGATAGACAAAATACTGTTGACACGTGATACTGAGAAAATGTATTGGTTAGCCAGCCTTGGCTTTTAGATTAAACTCCCGTGAATCCAGCATCATTAAGTAGTAGATAAATCAATTAATATTGAATATACTGGTAAGATGAGCTTTATATGACCCAAACCTTTTCAAGTATGTTTATTTTGGGAATTAAACTTGTATTTCCCAACCCAGTGGTAATAAATCCATATGGTATCCAACCTTCACAGTGACTTCAGTGGGTAGCTTCCATTGCATTTGACTAAAAAGCTGTGATAGAGAAGTAATTCCAAGCAGTTTCTATAGAATAATCACCACCCTTTAACAGCTATTTTTGCAATAGCTTTTTGTTAGGATCTTTAAGTAATTTTACTTCACCTTATACTGTGCCTTACTGGGACCTTGCCTTAAAAAAACTGAGACCCCAGGTCATTCATAAGATACATGCTTCTAAGAACACAGTCTGTAACAGCCAGAAACTCTACTGTCAAATGAAAGAGTGAGGGTGAGCTGGGGAAGAGAATGTTTTTTTTACTAGTGAACCTAAATTGTGTGGATGTTTTCTTGAGACAACATCTATCACCACTCCCAAGTACTTGAGATGCACCCTGCAAACGAAGACCTTGTATTTGAAGTGAAATTCTATTGGAATTGGGAAAAAAAAAAAAAAAAAAGGTAAAGTTTGATCAAAATAATACAGTGATCCCTTGAATTAAATTCACTTCCTAAGGTACAGCCATTATTTACTACCAAGTAGTTACAACACTAACTTCCTTGTAAGTAGTTGTAGAACAGTGACCACCTTTACAGGGAGAAAACTACTTTTGTCAGAAAACAAAATAGCAGTAGGTGAAACAATGTTTAGAATTTTATTACCTCTTCAAAGGCGAAAGAGCACACTTGGTAGTATAATGGTGTTACAATATTCCCGTTCACTTCCCCTGCACCAGTATGTGTTGTCCACCTTCCTGTCCTGCCTTAAAATTCTTCAGAAATCCCTTCCCCATCATCCATTGGCAGTCTTACAGCTAACTGAGCACTTAAATATCTTGAAGTCTTCTAATGGCCTTTTGGACTGGGAAAAAAGGGCGCGTGTATCTGCTTTATTCCTTTTTACCACACTGAACCAATGAGATCTGATGCAACTATGAACTGCTGTGCCTGGACATCACACTGCTGCTAGGGATGGTGATGGTAACAAGCAAAAAGAAAAAAGGGCTGAAAGTCGTGAAAGTGTTACCTATGTTACCTACCTTATACCATTTAAAAAATTAAAATCTTTCCAAAACATTCAAATTAAACAACAGTGGTAGAGTATTCCTGGGAATGTGACAGCAAGATGGGAAGTTTGTAAAGGAGGTTTTCCAGTTCCTTTGGGTTATTGTCTACATAGTAGCAGAACAATCTCACTTCAGAATTGAGCTGGCAGGTGACTGGATTTGTTTGTTTAATAAGTTCCCTGTGCAGTTGGAGATGACCTACCTATTGGATACCTACTGGAATCTAAAACTTTTCTTTTTTTCAATATAACACCGCAAAATGCGCATATTTCTTATTTGTAGTAGGTACATGGGATGTTACAAACTGTAATGTGCATAGCATGCATTCTTAAGAAAGAATTGTATATGCCTTCTGTGGAGAACTTATGTTCATGGCTGAAACAGGAAAAGCAACTTTCATTTCCAGATGTTTCCTCCTCATTTTTTTTGCAGCCTTTGTTAAATTAAATTAAAAATATGGACAGAAAGCTTCCATTCAAATAATAGGAGCTAAATTGCAATTAGTCTGAATAGAACATCCCTACTAACCTGCTAAATTCATTTTATTTATAATAATAAATGTACATATATATGTAGAATTGTCTGCATAATAGATAAATAAATAAAACTTATGTACAGAGACTGTTCTGGGATCTTCCCCTGCACACGTGCACAGCCTCATTAAAACTACGGGAGCTCGTGTGTGTACATCATAGCATTTTAGGTGATAGGTTGCCTCCTCCCTCTGCCCTGAGGCACACAATATAATGAAACAGAAGTAATGCTTTCTTGTCTTTCAAACTGTGATAGCACACTATTTACCAGGTTGAGAACTATCTCTTAAGCAGTATCCTCAAATAGTGGAGCTGGGATCCACAGATAGCACTGAGAAATGAGAGTCCAGTGATCCAGTGTTCTTTTCAAGCAGCTTCTGCATTCCTGCAACCTTCACATGTGAACAGGCCTACAGGAACCCAGCAGGATTTCCCTGTAGTTGGGGAAAAAGCCAACCACTCCTGCAAACCACTATGTGTTTAGCACTATCAGATATGTAGCACTGTGATGATGGTTTAAGAAATTGGTTATCAGAACAGTTTGGTCCAAACTACAGAAACCTTGTATTTGCTGGAAAAAATAAATCATTTGCCAGATACAGCCAATGTAAAGAAGTTTCCCAAAAGCCTTACAAAGGTCCTTTTTTAAATGAAAAGAAAGCAGAAAGAAACCTATTGAAAGTAATGGATTCTTGGCTTCTACTAATTTTTGATTTTGCTGTTGAGTGGGGCAGATCCTACTTTTTTTTTTTTTTTTTTTTTCCCCCCTTTTGGTCTGTATCTGTTTCTCTCTGGGATAGAATTAAGAAGGGGAAAAGTCCCTCCTGTTCTGAAAATCTGAGAAATGCAGGCACTTGGCATTACTTTCAGATCAGGTTTCTGCGAAAAAAGGTGGTGCATTTCCCTTTCAGCTGCTGACTGTCTGCTGCCCTTTCTTGGAAATGTGAGGTTCTTGTGAATGTTAGCTCCACTAAATACAACTAGATTTAGATGCTGACAACTTCTTCTAGTTAATGTGGAGGCAAGAATAATGGGGTACAGAGGTATCTGATTTTAATGCAGAGATGTAGGTGGGAATTGCTAAGGACACAACAGGCTGAAGTACTGAGCTACAGTAGTGGAAACTACAACTGTCATTCATGACATAATTGGCATGTTAAATAGTTCTCTTAACATCCTTCCCTTTCAGTATCATTTGAACTGTGGAAATATTTTGTTTTCTAAGTTAAAGGCAAATACATTAAAGATTAAAGAATGGAAATGCTCCTGTTATCGAAGATAGAAATAGCCATACTTGAAGTAGTATGAACTGCAAGAAGAAACATACTTTGTTCAGAAAAAGCAGACTTCCAAACCAAGGCGCTTACACCTGAGAGACCTGGTAAATGTCACAGAATCACAGAATTGTAGGTGTTGGAAGGGACCTCCAGAGATCATCAAGTCCAACCCCCCTGCCAAAGCAGGTTCCCTACACCAGGTAAAAATGTTGAGCACAATTTGCTGTTAGTATCAGCTAATCTGTGAGCATGGTGTGAAAACTGGAGTCTAGCTTTTGAAGCACTCATGCTTGAAAACAGTGACCAGTTTCCTCCTTAATTTGAGACTCCAAATCATGACTGCAGTTGCAACAGGATGCAACTGCTTTCCCATGCACTGTAGTGTCCTCAACCTACTGTTGCATTGGTGGGGGAGGGGGGAAGGAGGAAGGAGGAAAAAAGTGGTCATAAATCTGTAATAAATGGCATATAGCAAAGAGGCAAAGATAGTCTTTGTCAAAAGCAGAGGAACCACAAGAGGGTGCCATTTCTTTGATTTTCATAGTGTCTAATCACATTTCGATTCTGGGTCACTTGGTCTGAGGCTGATAAAAAGCACCCAGGTGTCTCTTGCATGTAACTTCGCCTCTGAGAGCTCACAGTGCTCATTTATAGCACTGGTCTAAGGGCAGGAATTTGTAGTGATATACTACAGAGCACTGAATACTAACACAAAATGAGAAGGCAAATGGTTTTCAACTAGTTGTTCAGGTAAAAATAACTCCTAAGGCACTTTGAAGCATGATGTTTGTAATTAATCAATCCTTCTAAAAATTTGCATGACACACAGACTAATTCATGTGCAATAGCACATGAATATGACTCTATCATCAGGTCTGACTTGTGGAATCTTTCCTACAGAAATTACCTGCAGAGTTTTCATCAAGTTAGGCTAAAAAAGTACCTTCTGTGTTACAAGATGTAAAGAGTTATTTTAGAAATCCAAACAGACCAAAACAACACCTACATCTTCTAATCTTAATTCTGTTCAGCTAGGTAATTATATTTGGAAATTCCCACTGAAAAGGAAAAAAAAAAAAAAAAAAAGAAAATATTAGAAATTGTTTGCTTCTAAGTGTTAAAGTAGTTGTATGAAAACATATCCATAAGAATATATTGGAGTAGACACAGCCTGTGGTGGGAGACTGAAGTGTTCCAGAAAAGAGAAAGGGAAGCGAGAAAATATGTAAAAGAAGAAAAAGTCATTCAATCTTGCATCCAGTACTACTTCACTATTTGTCTCATTATATACTCTATAAAAATATAGACTTTGTACATGAAAGACACTACTTAAGAGCCACTATGATGCCCCTGATATTTCATTTATTTCCATAATTTTTTCATACAGTTGTATTTTGTATGTTACTTCACCACTACCACCACCACTTTTTCCCCTCTGTATCTTCCAGCTTGGTGTTCAGTGAAAGTATTAAAGAAATGGTGAGGTCTCGCTGCTCAGAGATTGGCAAGAACATAAACACAGAAATTAGAGTATTAAAAATCTGTCAGCGAGGCAGCGACAGTGTCAGGCATGGAATTTCATTATGTGTATTCCTGTCTTTTATGCTCGTAGGAAAATAAACACACAGCTTTTAACAAAGCTGTAAATTAATTAAGCACTTGTTAGATATGCCTGTCTCCATGTTTGACAGTAAAAATTGGAAAAGAAATTCAATTATTGCGCATGATCCTTGATGGGATTTTCAGAAGCAGGCTGTGTTTAGATACTAACACAAATTTTATGTTCACATAGTGAGGAATTTTAAAATTATTGGCAGTTTTTTAAAACTTCATTTTTATGTCTTTTATAGAGCCATGACAAAAATGCCAGAGTACCAAACCAGTTCTTAACATTGTAATTCACTTAAATATTGGGAAAAAAATAGCTGCTTTGATTAACTTAAAAACAATTACAATAACGCTCCATAAACATGATATTGCTACGGGAATTTCTGCGTGTATGATTTAGAAACTTATTTTGGAAAAGCCTCACCCGAAAAAAATGGCTTTCTCAATCTCCAGCACTATCTCAGGAAGAGATTTTTCTAGACTGACAGTAATAAACCTTTCTGGCGCTGTAGGAGGCTCCAGAGCATCAAACTGAGACTGGAGTAGTTTCAGTGGCATGAAATGTCCTCTCCTCTTCTCCAGGCGGCGAGCAATGAGGTCTGTAGGACCATCCAGATGAACGAAGAGGATATTCAGTGCTGCATTTTCTTCTGGTTTCTCTGACTGACTGTTTCCAATTGCAGATGCTCCTCTGACTAATATAAGTCTATAGATTTTCTTCAGTGCTGAACAGGCCAGAACTGCATCTTGTCCAGATGATTCTTCTCTATCAAAAAGGAGAACAAACAACACACTGCCATGAGAGAAAAGCCCTTGTAGAGGACAGCTTTGGGAATACTGGCAGGCCAAACCAATGCCATGTGCTTCTACATGTCTGCAATTATGCTTCAACTATGCAACAGTGCAGTTAACACATTGTTGAATTGATTTTGGGAAGTTTCTGGAGTTAAGCAGTGGCTTTGGGCTGGCATGTTACAAAACACAGTGGATCTAACATAATAATCTAGACAAATTTTAGGAAATTAACCCATGCTCTAACAAGATAAGATCACTTGGTGTGCACATGGAAGAAATGGGCACTGTGCAAAGTTAGAGCAAGAAGAGTGTTAGGGGGAGATCAGATTCAGAGGAAGGCCAGCTATGACATTTTGGAAGAATAACTTTTGAGATGATCTACATGAGCAAAATTCCATACAGTTTGGAAAATAAGTGGCTGATGTTACACAGAGTGATTCCCCTTCCATCTACCCCTAATTGATTCTGTGATCCAAGAAGGAATTAAATCACTGGCAGCGGACTGTAAGTTAAGGGCAGTTGTTGGCTGTGATAATCACCCTTTCCATTTGCAGTAAAGGTGCAAACAGGTGAAATGAGCCATGACAAGCTGTACCAAGTGCCAATCTCTGTGGTTTTCAGCAGGCACCTTGTCAGACTGAATCTCCCCCTCTCTTTATGTTTCAGGCCCTAGGTGCTTCTGATAGGCAGCAAATTGCCCCAGAGATTGAGTGCCAGCAGTTTAGCAGACTTAGGCCACATGAAACTCAGAAAATGCATTCAGTATCCAGGTTATTTAAAAATTAAAAAGATATCTGATACTGGTGATAACTGGAAAAAAAAAAAAGACAAAACCAAGGAAACAGAGTGCAAAAATCAGTATTTGAGCATTCTATAGAACTCTTTGAAGCTTCACAAAATGGTTGAGATTGCAAAGAGTCTCTGGAGGTCATCTGGTCCAAAATCCCGTGTTCAAGCAGGAACACCTACAGCAAGCATCATGTTCAGGCAGCTTTAGAACATGGACAGGGAGTCCACCACCTATGGGCAGTCTGCTTGCTGTGAGAGCTCAGTCACCCTTACAATTCCTCTTATGCTCAGGAAAAACCTCCCAAGCTTCAGTTCATGCCCACTGCCTCTTGGACTCTTATGGTAACCACTTGAAAGAGTCTGGCTCTGTCTTCTTTGCAGTCCCCACTTCAGATATATAGCCACCCTGGTGAGATCCCCCCCTCATCTCTACGCTTCACAATCCCATCTCTCAGCCTTTCCTTGTAGGAGAGGTAGTCCTGTCCCTTCATCTTCACAGCCCTTTGCTGGGTTCTCTCCTGTAGCTCTATTTTGTACTGGGAAGCCCAGAACTGGACACAGTTCTCCAGGTGTGGCCTCACCAGTACTGAGGGGAAGGATCACCTCCCTCCACCTGCTGGCAAAACTTCTCCTGAAGCAGTTCAGGATATTGTTAGACATCTTAGCAGCAAGAGCTCATCGTTAATGTTCAGCTTTTTGTCCACTGCGATCTGCAGGGCCTTTCCTGCCAGGCATCTTTCCAGCTGGGGAGCCCTCAGCACGTCTTGGTGCCTTGGATAGTTATTTTCCAAGCACAGGACTACACTTCTCCTTGCTGAACTGTCAGTTCGCTGCTTCTGATTGTGTAAATTCCTCTGAATGCCAGCTTGGCAGTCTTGCATGTCAGCCACTCATCTCAGTTGGGTCAACTGCAAGCTTGCTCCAGGTATACTCTTGACCCAGATCACATATGAAGATGCTGAACAGGATCAGATTCAGTCTCTACCCACGCAGTACACTTCTAATTACTGGCATCCAAGTAGACTTTGTGCCACTGATCACCAAATTCTAAGCCTGGCCTCTCAGACAATTTTCAGTCCAACTCACCAGCCCATGCTTCATTATCTTCTCTATGAAGATCCCATGTGAAACAGTGTAATAACCTCACTTACGTTCAGGTAGACAATATCCACTGTTTTCCCCTCATCTACTAAGCCAGTCATTTCATCATAGGAGATTATCAGGTTTGTCAAGCACGACAACACCTCTGTAAATCCACACCAACTACTCCTGATTCCTTTTCTTTCACAAGCCTGGAAATGGTTTCCAAAATGAGTTGTTTCATCATCTTCCTAGAGATCAAAGTGAGACTAACCAGCCTGTAGTTTCTCTGCGTCTTCCCCTTTGCTCTCTTCTTGATTATATAGTAATATTTACTTTCTTCCAGTCATGAAGCACCTCTCCCTTTTGCCATGATTGTTCAAAGATCACTGAGAGTAGCACCAAAATGACATCTGCCAGGTTCCTTAGTGTTCAGGGGTGCACTTCGTCAGGGCCTGTAAACTTGTTAAGTTCACTCTGCTCAAGTATTCTCTAATCTGAGCCTCTTCTACCATGGAAAAAGCCTGGGATTCATTTAAAAAAATGTACATCAGTCTTCCTAGTAAAGACTAAACTGGGGGAGGCTGTGGTACAGCCTGTGTCACCACAATCTCTGCCCCAGTCTGATATCAGACATATTTTCCCTGGTCTTTCTTTTACTACTTACGTACTAACAGAAGCCCTCCTGATTACCTTTGTTGTTCCTCACCAAATTCAGCTCCAAACAGGCTTTGTCTTTCCCAACAGCATCTCTGCATCCTTAGACAGTGCTTTATATATTCTTCCCAGGTTACTTGTCTCTTCTTTCTCCTCCTGTATACTTCCTCATTGTGCTTCAGTTTTTCCAGGAGCTCCTTGTTCACCCACAGGCCTCTCAGAATTTCTGGCTAACTTTGTGCTTGCTGGGAAGGACTGCACTTGGGCTTGGCACAGGTGATTTATGAACATCTGCAAGTTTTTCTGAGCCCCTCTTTCCTCAGTGTCTTAATCCCATGGAATGCTTCCAAGCAGATTCTTGAAGTAAGCTCTCCTCAAGTACAGGATTGTGCTCTTGCTTTTTACCTGTTTTACTCTCTCAGGAACCTGAATGCCATCATCTCATGGTCATTGCATCTAGGGCTGACTTTGAGCTTCACATCTCCAATAAGTCCTCCCTTGTTTGTATGTATGAGATCCATCAAAGCATCTCTCCTTGCTGGCATGTCTGTCACTTGAGTCAGAAAGTGTCACTGATGCTCTCCAAGAACATTCTGCAATGCTTATGTCTAGCTGTGTTGTTCCCGTAGCAGACACCCTCTACATTGCCAAAACATTGGTTTGCTCTTCAGTCCTCACCTATAAGCTCTCAGCTGGCTCCTCAGCCAACCCCAGGCTGTATGCAATTCAGCTGCTCTCTCACATAAAGGGCAGCTCCTCCTCTTTGACTTCCAGGCCTCACCTTCCTCCAGTGCAGTACTCAAACCATTTGAGACGCACCACGATGTCTCCATGATTCCAACAAGATCACAGTCTCGCAACTGCACACAGTTCCCATGTTTATGTCTCATGTTGCACATTAATATAGACATCTCCGAGGCTCTCTAGCATTTCCCATGAAAGGTCTGTTGCTTTCCCCCCTTCCTTCTTTTTCTCCTCTAGAATCATTCCCTACTGACAGTCTCTTGCTTACATGCAAATGCTTGAATTGAAACCAGCTTGCTTTTTATTCTCTGTTATTCACAAGACTGCTGGTAACTCTCTCTCTCCCCTGTCATTCCTGCTTTAAAGTCCACATTTCCTGGTTAGACATCCTTCGGGCAAAGACAGCTTTGCCTCACTAAAGAAGCTGGACGCAACTCTGCCTACCAGATGCTGATTATCCAACAAGATTCCATCATCAACGAAACCAAAACACCATTGCCAGCTCCACAACCAATTGTGGGAATACAATTTCAGTGTCTTCCTTCTTACATTGTTTGTCTTTTACTGGAAAGACTGAGAACAACAACAGGGCCACCATGTCCCTGATCCTTTTTAAAAAGCAATAAGGGTTTAGCAAAATGTACTAAGTTAAAGCCAGGTGAGTTTGAAGCTACACATTTTACTATTCTCACCTTCAAGTTCAAGAAAACTTTGAATTACCTTTGTCTCTGAATAGCGGAGGTAGGATTATTTGAGGTTAGAAAGTATATAATTACTATAATCTGGAGTTTAATAAAAAGCTGATCACCTGACAAATCTCTGAATACAAATATCTCTACAGTTTTTTTATCCTACTATTATTGTCCTTGTATTCTGTGTTATGGCCTTTTTAAGTAGATAATGTTGGGTTTATTATCCTTAAAATGATCCACAGAGAGGAGAAAAAAACAAAACTATTACTGGCAACAATTTTCCCAAAACTATTATTCCGGAAATATCATACCCTTAGAAATTATTATGGCACTTTAGACTACTGAAAATGGAATGCCTTTAGTAGCTGCAAAAGTATTTACATTACCGCATACATTTCTGTTTTGGAACTTTTTTTGGTCTTGTTTTTTTATTTATTTTGCCTTTAACTCAAAATTCCTTCAATCTAGAGGTTCTCTTACCTCCTCAGAATATCATGCAATGCACAAAGCCATGGAATCCTGTCCTAGAAACAAAACAAATTAGTTCAAAATTGTATGTGAAATGCATTTGAAAGAATCACTTTTAACATCTGGAGCATTTATTAGCATTAATATGTATAGCCAGTTCATTTTTCATTGTCATCCTTCCTAATATAGATTTCTACCACTGCCTGCATCCTAAGAAATGCAAGGCATATTATCAACATGATATTTTTAGGGGGATACTTGTGATTTTACATACACCTGCAAATATCTTATGGAGGTAAAATGTTTTAAAGAACAGATAAATTCTCTCTTGCTACTACAAGACAGTTCAAATGTAGTCTGCTCTCAGACAGCAGCTTACATAGCTCGAATGGTTATTTCTTTTCCCTTCTCTAAAAGGTTGAGGCTTTCAGGGACTACTCCAAGGTGTTAAGACAGATCTAAATTTAGTTATCTGCAATAACTGTATAATTTTTATGCCAACAGCAACCACAACTAAATGCACTCATACCCACAGTTTTGCAACTCCTTTGCTCAGTAGTTTGGCAAAGGCAGTGTGAGTGATTGATTGGCTTCTTAATATAATCTTTCTTAAACCTTAAGCTCTCAGCAACTTCTGTCATACCAGCTGAGTGGTAAACTATTGATCCCATTTCACCTTTCTGTGCAGCTCTTACTGGATGAGGGCAAGAAATGAAAATATGGATAGATAAATGCAACATTTTCTTGTTGTTATAATTGCAGGTTCACTTTCCACTGCCATTCAAGAAGGCCTTTATAATTCTGCACCACTGATGTTACAGAAGAGATACTCGCTTGGCACCACACACCAGTAATGCTGATCATTCAATTATGCAGTTCTGTTTTACATGACAATGGCTTTGGTGAACTTCCAGACAGATGAAAGTTTTTAATACATACTTGGATGTGTTAAAGAACTTCCACATTCAGCCTTATATTGCTAGAGATCTTCTGGGAAAAGTTCTTAAAACTAATTTTAAGCAAGAGCACATAAAAAAAAAAAAAAAAGTACAGAGTAACTACTGCAGTAACTGAAAGTGATTATTTCAATAGAGAAACACAAAGACCTCTGTGTGTCTTCATATACTTAATTCAAAGCAGAAAACATGTAATCTAAAGTTCCATGCATTGACGTAGAGGAACAGCTCCCTGGGGCACCCAAAGAAGAGCATGGCCAGCAGGGTGAGGGAGATGATCCTCCCACCCTACTCTGCCCTGGTGAAGCCCCTCTGGAGTACTGTGTTGAGTCTGGCCTCCTCAATTCAAGAAAGAGAGAGCCCAGCGGAGGTGACGATGAGATGATGTCTGCAGCATCTCCCTTATTCCGTTACGAGAAAAAGCTGAGAGACCTGAGACTGTTCAGCCTGGAGAGGAGAAGACTAAAGGAGGATCTTATCAGTGCTTATAAATAGCTAATATGCAGTCAAATGGATGAGGCCAGGCTCTTTTCAGCGGTGCCCGGTGACAGGACAAGGGGCAACAGGCACAGGAAGTTCCATCAGAACATGAAAATTTACTTTTAGACAGTGAGGGTGATGGAGCTCTGGAATTGGCTGCCCAGCGATGCTGTGGACTCTTCTTCTCTGTACTTATTCAAAACCCATCAGGACAGTTTCCTGTGCAACCTATTGTAGGGTGCCTGCTTCAGCAGAGGCTTGGACTGGATGATCTCCAGAGGACCCTTTTGACCTCTGCAGTGCTGTGATTCTCATAAGCTACAGGTCTAGACAATCAACCTATGTTTATATATGAAACACAATTTTTTTTGTAATATGATTTGCCAGAGGCTGCAAAGAAAAAGTAGTCTACTCTTTCAGAATTCATAGAAATTACCTCATCATTTAGTGGCATTCCTGCTGCCATCTTCTTTTTATTCTCTGGAGAATGATAGTCATCTGCATCAAAGAATTTCCACCCCAGCTAAGAAAAAAAAAAAGAAAGAAAGAAAGAAAAAAGAAGCATTCAGCCAAATCAGAATAGTGATAGATCCTATTAAGGATCCCAGAATTAATCAAGACACCTAAAATCTAGAGGCCTCTTACACCTCAGCATGAATCACCATTAATGCAGAGACAGCTATGAGCTCGACACAACAACAGCAATGGTTGACACATAATGGCTGTTCCTTCAAGACAACGTTGCGTTGGCAATAGCTGCCCAGCACTGCCCAAACCGGCTTCAACCGTGAAGCTGCCACTTTTGTGGCACGATTAAGTACCAGTTGCCCAAGAGCTGCGGGTTGCCAGACAGAGCGAGAAGCTAAGAAGTAGTGACATCGGTAGAAGAACAGAATGCAGCCGTACCTTTGCTGCCAAACGTGACCCAACCGTGGTTCTGCAAAGAAGCACAAGGAGCTCGTTATTCCAGCACCTCCGAGAGACAGCTGACTCCCAGAACTACACCCATCTAGGGAGACAATCCTTATTTACAGCCGTAAAACAAAAGCGGGCGTGACTACCAGCCCACGCTTCGAAGAACCAAACCAGAGCGCTTCCCTTCGCCACTCGTGCCGCGGTGCGGAGGCTGAGGCCGGCTACGGGGGCTGGCTGTGCCTGGCCGAGTCCGCGGCCGCGCCGTGCCGCCAGCGCCACGCGGGTCGCACCCCAGACCCTCGCCCCGCCGTCCGGTACCTACTTCCCGGAGCCGCTCACGCCCATGACCACCACCAGCACCATGGCGAGCCCCGCCGCAGCCCCGCCCGTTCCGCGCGGCCCTCCTCTCCGCCGCCTCCGCCTCTCGGCCCGGCCCGCCCCCTATCTGCGGCGGGGAGGCGGGCACGGAGGTGGCTGCGGGCGGAGCGCGGCCGGTTGGCCGGGTCGCTCAGCTCGGGCTGCGGGGCCGCGGGCGTTCTGCCGCATGTCCGCGGGCGGGGCTCCGTCCCGGGGCCGAGCGGCACGGAGGCGTCCCGCCGGCAGCCCTCCCCCGCCGTGCGGCTCTGCAGGCGGGCCGGGCGCTGCTGCCCGGAGTTCCCAGCGCCGCGCTCACAGTTCGCTAGGAAGCGCACGGCACTTGGTGCTCCCGCTTACGTAACAGCGCCTGACAGGAGGGTAGAGCGCGCACGGCTGTTTGTACATAGCGCTTCCCCTTTGCTCACGGACTCCTGCCCTTCCATCATCATTAGCCCATTGACCCGCGCCGTGGTTACCTCTGCTCCGTGTGTTCAAAGGGCTCGCGACAGCACGCGCTGGCACCACCGCCCCGTCGGGCGTCCCGTCCCGCTCCGCGTCGCTGCGGGAGCGGCTCCGCCTGGCGGCTGGGCGCTGGCATGGAGCGCTGCGCGGCCGGAGCGGCGAGGCGAGGAGGCGCTTGTTGCTCGCGGACGTTTAGTTTGAGTTTAACCCAGAGAATTCACGCTGTGCGGCCGTGACTTCAAATGTCACTTCTTCCAGTGCAGTCTCTATAGGAAAACGATCGTCTTCGCTTTCCCATCTGGCTGATCTTCAGCTTTTTATTGTCACCTCTCCTAGGGTTTGATCGCATCTACATCTAGGTGAAGTGACTGCTGTCTGCTGTTGGTGCTGTGATGGGGAGTGTGGTACAGCAGCAGCTAGGAGTAACAGATCTCCCCTGTGCAATTGCTGACAGCATCTTTGTGGAAAATGTTGCAGTCTAGGCAGAGCATACAGATGACAAGAATAGGTGAGTGGAGCAACTTCTTTTTTCTTCTTGCTTTTTAGCAAGTGCTGTAGTATGTGAGAGTTGCAGGGAATAAAACTTAAGAGGCCTAGGTTGAGAAAGCTGAGGGGTTGGCACTCGGCTGGGTGTGAGGTGGCTCAGGCCTACAGCTCGCACTCACGTGCTTGATCACAGCAAGTGCAACGCCAGGGATACTGCAGTCATTAATTCCTCCAGCACAGGTATCTTTGCTGTGTGAAAGTGGAAGCATTTGGTGGACAGGGGCATGGAGGGTTTTTATGTGTTTTGGTTGGTCATCCTCAGTGGGTACTTCTAGCAACTGAACATCTGGAAACTGCAGTCCAAAGTCTATGGAAAGGTAGATGTGCTAGCTAGAGGTAGACAATTTGCTAGCAGAAAAAGCTCAGCCATCTCACATTCCTAAAAGTATAATGGCTGGCAGGAGGTGAAAATAGCTGCCCCTTAGCTGACAGTAAGGCGGAGGGAGAGGAAAGGGGTATCCAGGAAAAACTGCAACAGTGCTTGGACACCAAGGGTAATTGTGTCATAGTGAATGCTCCACTACAACTGTATGAACCAGCTGCTGACCTCTGAGAGGCCACAGTCACCAACAATAAATAGTAGATGGTAAGTATGTTACATTACACGTACTAAACTGTTCCACAAGAGTGCTAGTTCTGAATGTTACTCTTACAGTCATTGTTATTTGGCACATATCTCATGCCTCTGCATGAGAAATTGTGGTTTGATATAACGAAAGAGGTCTTAAATGAACAAGGTTAGTGATACAATATAATTAACGATATTGATCTATCTGATTACATTTAACACTTCTGTTCCAAAATTCCCTTTCTGGTTTCTCTCATACACATTGATAGAAATGGCCTTATTTTTCTTTAGTTTACGACAAATAATTTAATAGACATTGCAACTACAAAATTGGTTTATTGAAATGGTTGTGAGAATTGAGTTTAAAGGAAAATATTTTCATGTTTTCATTATATATTTTTCCTTTCCATTCCATTTCCTTTCCTTTCCCATTCCTTTCCCCCTCCCCTCCCCTC